TGACACCAGGAGAGAAGCGCTGCTGTGCGTGACTCAGTCTGCGCGCTTGGAGCAGCCCCAGGAAGCTTTGGGCTTTGATGAAATCCGCACAACTCTGCTGCTGAAGGTCACCCTTCCCTGGCTTGGCCCCCTGTGTGTGTCCCTGCCTCAGCCATCTCCCCAGATGGGGTGAGTGGGGGTGCTGCCACCCAAAGAAACTCTAGTGATTCTGGGGTTTGTTAGTGTGTTTAGTGGCATCAGATGGGGTTAAACATGGCCAGCATCAGTTATTGCCAGGCAAAACTCAAGTCCATAGTGCAGTTTAATTCCCTGGAAAACACAGTGCCAGATGTTTATAGATGAGGAGACCAAGGTTGAAGAGGTTTGCTCACCAGCCCAGGGACACCCTGTGGGTGAGGGTAGAATACGTTCCTACATGTTCTTCACATACAGGAGACCCTTGAGTTAACAGGCTGCCCTTGAGTTAAACTGTGCAGTGAGTGAGACCCCTACCCAAAGAGTTCCCCCAGCTCACACTGGCTGGGATCCCTGGTGCCTGCTTGGCCTTCTGACCCGAAAGCCCGCACAAACCTGTCCAGCCCTCCTTGGCCGCTAAATGGATAATTGCCCAGTGGGGGCAGAGGCTGCCTAGTGAGATGGAGACCTTCTGGGCAAACCTAGAGGGAATTTCAAAAGACCCTAGAAATGCTTGCATTGGGAGCTGGGAGACATTGTTTGATTTCTGGGAGTTGGGATGGTGTGGTGAAGATGCTTCCCATTTTGTCGGGGCCACTTGACGAGCAGCGCGATGTGCAGACCTTAACTGATTGCTGTCTCAAGGGCGGGGGCAGTAGAAAGTGGCCTGGTGCCAGGAGAAGACGGGATGGAGAGAAAGGAAATGTGCCAAGAATGGCCTGGTGCTGCCTCCACTCCCTTCACTCACCCTGAGCCTCTCAGGGCCACTGTGCCTTCCTTTCAACCTGCTATTTGTTGTCTTTGAGGGTAAATCACCTTTAAACAAAAAACTCCTTTTCCTCAGTCCAGAAATGTGTCCTCATGGCAGGAATTGGCAAAGGGGTGGTGGTGGGTGCTGCCCTGGGGTCCATGGTGCCCCCGATGTCTCTTCACAGAAGACAGTAGTACCCCCTTTTCAGGGATGCTACCGTTGGGGCAACAACTCTTTACTTTGGTCCCTCCGGACTCCCCTGTGCCAGTCAGGCCCTTCTTCCCAGTGTCCAAGCCAAGCCCAGGTACTCTAGTAACTTGGGGCTTCTGACAGCAAATGACTGCCCCAAGTCTGTTGCAGGGGACCCAAACTCGTGCACTTTCAAGTTACTACCACACGTGAGCCAGAGACCACGCAGTGTGTGTTTATGCTTTGCAAGCTAGGTCTCCCCGGAACTGGGTGTTCAGCGGGCAGCCGCTATAATTCCTGGTCTGTTTTCTAGAAGCCAGGCACTCCTCAGCCTCCCCGGCTGACCTCTTCTCTTAGCTCCTCTTTCTCAGCCCTGGCTTCTCTCTTAATCCCCATCCCCCATCCTTGTCTCTACTGCTGGAAGAAAGGGTTAAAACCCAGAGTCAAGGTACAGCTAAGCAGCTCACACTAGGAACAGGTTGGTGCTTGTAAAGTGCTTTTCATGAGTGACTTCACACATCTTGGCACTTCTAGAAGCATAGCCTGCGTGTGGGGGGTGGGGGGCATTGAGAGATAAGGGCAGATGATCCTCTTCTATATAAGAGCAAAGCACTTTGAGGTTCTCTCTTTGTCATTGAGTCAGATCATTAGCCCTCTACACCATGTCCCACAGCTGGGGGTCAGCAAAGTCAGTTTTGAAGCACTTTGCCTTAGAGGGGAAGAAGCCCCAACTCTTTTCTTTCCCCAGGAGCATCTGCAAGTGGGGTAGTGTGAGTATTGCTGTACCTCTGCCCCTCAGCCTCTTTTTATTTTTTGCCCCAATGTCCTGTTCACTCTACAGCCCAGAGAAATAGGGGAGGGGGTCCCTGTTCTTCAGTAAGCGCTCAGTGTCAGCAGTTACGGCCTTTGCTGAGGATAGTCCTGCTCTTGTTTGTCACCCTGGAGAAGGACCTCCTGCCAGGCAGGGCCATTTCTCATTGGCCCTTTCCACTCAGCTCCATCTTTTACCAGGAACCTGAAGAGTTAAAAGTCTTCAGCTTGTTGCAATGAAATTATGGCTGGCAGTGGCGCCGCTGTTTGTTCAACAGACCTCCACTTTTAAACAGTTCACAAAAAGTTCATGGGGCAGCTAAAGATTATAAATGTGTGTGTTTGTGTATAGTCCACAGCAGGGTCCAACAATGGACCCCTGCTCCTTTTTGCTTCTTTATGTTCAGCCCTGTTTACCAACGCCCCCCCCATACACAGATGACATCGAAAGGCACTCTGGGCCTCAACACTCCATCTGACCCTGTGCATGTGAGAACACTTCATTCTGACGCTTGGTGTCATTTATCTGCACAGCATTAATATTGAAAACCCCGCAGGATGAGCCCAGGAGAAGGGGAGATGCTCTGAAGCACCCAGTGTCCTGGGTGTCTCAAAACTACATTCACCTCTCAGCTAAGTCCAGGCTGCCTTTGCTGAAGGAAAAGCCTTTTCAAGGGAAGGGGGTACTGGCCTTTTTGAGGGGTTAGTCGGTAGGATGGTTGAGGCAGCACACTTTGTTATTCCTTAGTAAGGGGCTGAGAGGTCCTTTTCGAAAAGTGACTAGTCTAGGAGGTGGCTTGTGTAAGGGGAGGCCAATTTTTAAGCCATGGAAACCAGAAGATTGAGGTTTCTTCGGAATAGATTTTCTTCTTCCCTCATCCTTTTCTTTGGGGTTTGATTGAGTGACCCTTTTTGCTCCTAATATAATTTCAGCTTTTCATCACGGCAGACAGCAAGGGAACGGCGTGGTGCAGTTCCGCGGCTGCAGCTGATAACAAGGATACACTCAAGCATCAAGGAATGCTGCCACACCTATATTAGGCCCCCCGGAATGTCTTCCTTTTTGTTAAGAGTCCACAGGGCTTGGGGAGGGTACATCCATTGAATGTGCTTTGGGGTCTGTCCGGCACTAGTGGCGGCCCTCCCCCAACTTGATTTTTTATGTTTGGAAGATGGAAGAAAAGCCCATGAGCCCCCACAGAACCTTCCTCAGTGCAGTCTTTTTGGGGTGTGGCATTCCCTTTGGAAATGCCCTGGGTCTGTCTTGAAGAAAGAGACTCTTCTTAGGGAAATAGCTTCTTGGGAACCCTACCCCGCCTGCCACATCTGCAGGTTTCAGCCTCTTCTGGGGCACTCTCCTTCTCTCCACTGTCATTGTTGAGCTCTAACTATGCGTGGTGTGCGCGTGGGGATTTTGATTAACAGATGTCGTTCTGTGTGCCAGGGGACTGATGGGGGATGTCGGTGGACAAAAGATCTAGTCAGGACAAAGAAATGCAGCAGGATCACCTGGCTTTTGGATTCAACTCTCCCACCCTCAGTTACCCTCGAAAGAGTCCCGGGACCTGGTGCTTCCATCCGACCTGCAGTCTGCTCTGGGTGCTAAAGTGTAAAAGCGAGAATTTGCATATTTTTCCTGCTAACAAAGGAAATGTGTCGACTTAGGGAACATTTGGGGTTTCGGGTGTGGGTGGGTGTGTGAGGGAGGAGAAAGAAAAGTTCCCCTGATGATGTGCACACCAATTATTTCACACCACAGCTTGGGTCCCGCGTCAAAGCCGTGGCCGGGGCCGGACAAGGGGGACTGAGATGTGTTTGCGAGCAGGGAATTGCAGAGGGCCATCGGTCCCAGGCATTAAAGGCTCCCCTACTTATTAACCCAGCATTTAACAGCAGGATATGGGCTGAAGCGCAGTCAAAAGAAACGGCTCAACCTCCAAAGAGCAATTAAAATCCTGCACGAGGATAAATCACGCGCCGTGATAATCCTGTTAATAAAATGCAGCTTGTCCTGACCCTTCACTCATGCAGCAAACTAGAATGTGATGTGGGTGGGGGCGGTGGGCAGAGAAGGTAAGGAAAGGGGAGAGGTTGTCTGGGCTCCTCTGCCTCGGCCGCCTTCCCCTCCCAAGAGGAGGAGATGGGTGGCTTTGGCTGGTTCCCGGGTGCGAGCAGCTTGGAGCCCATCAGCCTGGGCTGCTAAGACTTGTGCGCCCACTAATGATTTCTTGTCCCCAGTGAGCGGGCGTCATTGAATTACTCAGCCGCCTCCCTCTGCAGCTCCCAGGCAAAACCACCCAGGCAAAACCACCCGGGTTAGGTGCTTAATCTAATCTAGGGCTCGGGTGGGGCGGCTCACCAGCCCACTGACCCTTTTTTAACCCTCAGTCTGGAAGTTGTACATGCGACAGCCCTGGGAATGCATTGTGGTTTGGCCCCAGACTTGCCACCACACCTCACTGTTGTGCCTTCTCCGCTCACCCCCTCATCCTTTCAGCCCCAAGAAGAATCAGTGTGGGAATCCCGGGGATCTGGCACCATACACTTTCAAACCTTTCTAAAAGGCCGGAAAAAGGGAAGGGAGAGCGAGTGGAGGAATAAGCACTGTCTGTGCCTTGGACTGTGTTGCGTGCAGTTCTGCTTTAACCGTCTCTCCACCCCGAGGGCCTTCTGCCAGGGAGGTCCATTTCCCCTCTCCTGGATGTTTGGGGCAGGTGTGTTCTCCCACTCTCAGCATCTGTAGAACGTCCAGCGCAATACACCTTCTAAGTCTGCATTCCATATGAATTGCCTAGAAAGAGGACCTTTCTCATTTCGTTTGGGCCCTAGTGGTGCAGCGGCTAAAGTGCTCGGCTGCAAACCAGAAGTGGGCGGTTTGAACCCACTAGCCTACTCTGTGGGAGAAAGATGTGGCAGTCTACTTTCGAAAAGATTGCAGCCTCGGAAACCCTATGGGGCAGTTCTTTTCTGTCCTGTAGGGTCGCTATGAGTCGGGAATCAACTCCAAGGCAGCGGGTTTTGGTGTTTTTGGTTACTCAAACTCCTGGGATTTTTTTTTCTTTTTTTCTTTTAACAGACTAGACCCTTGAAGAGAAGCTGCTATCCAAGAAGACGACATGCTTTCTGCAACCCCCCTGTATGGGAACGTTCACAGCTGGATGAACAGCGAGAGGGTCCGCATGTGTGGGATCAACGAGGACAGGTGAATGTGCCTGTCTGTTTTAGGTCCAAGGAGCACGAGCCAATCTCTCTGTGCTCCTGAGCCACACGGGTGCTGAAGCTCGCCTCACCTTCTCCCAGCCAGAGCAGCTCCAAAAGGGGTGGGCGAGAACAATCTCCCGCCTAACTGGCAGCCCTTGATTTACAGTTTTAACAGGCAACCCAGCTCAGCGAAGCATTGCCGCCCTTTAAAAGATTAGCCCCTAAAGTGGCCTTTCAATGCACTTTCGTCCTTAATTTATTATTTCATATTTATGAAGGAGAATTAATCCCAGCCTATATGCTGCTTTAACTCTAAATGTCAGGAGCATGGGCCCAGGTGGATCGGCATTCGATGTGCTTTTAAAACAAATAGTTTGCTCAGTAATAAATGGGGAGATAGCCACCCTTTGCTTCATTTAAGCCCAGGGTTTCTTGTTGTCCTCTGCTGCCTGTTTGGAGAGGACACTGGCTCTGGATTTTAGCCACTCGACAGCTCTGTTATGCTTTCTAATCAGTAATTTTGGAGTGTGGGGTAGAGACAGTTAAGTAGTAGATGACTGAAGCTGCTCTTCGGGGTAATGATGAAACTTTCCTGTGCTGCATGTCAGCGATTTTATCTCTGGGATTTGGTAGTTGGCACCAAACACTTTCTTTATCGATGCTCTCTGATAACAAGTCCCAGGGCAGCCACACCAGCCTGGCACAGATGTGCAGCTTTCTCTTCAGCCTGGAGCAGCTGACATTCGTATGATAGTAGTGTGTTACCCCCTGCCCCCCCACCCCCATCGTTTTGATAAAGGCAGTCAAGTATAGCTTCCTTATCACCACGGAAACCAGTACATGACTTTAGTGGGGAGAAAGTTTGGAAAGCCTGCCCTCATTGATGTGGCCAGCCCGCCTCGTGGTCCACCTTTGGTCTTTTTACTACTTAAATGTCTGCCTTTGGGTAGAGTGGATAAGAGTTGGCTAAGACAGCAGAGCTCAGATTGGCCTACTTGTTTACCTTATGGCCTCTAGAGAAATAGGTTGCTCAGCAGAAGTGGTTGTGCTTAATTTCTGGCTTACCCAGTTGGGGACTGATGTGTGATTTCATGTCCATGCACTCTGCCCTGGCAGACAAGTTGAATCACCATTTCGGGGGGCCCTTTCAGTTTGGGCTATTGGGAAGGAATTTTCTAAGGGGGCGATCTCCGAAAGATAAATTGCGTGAAGAATGCTTTCATGAAGTTGGTGTATCCTTTTAAACAGGAAAATTCCTGTAAATGATGGGGACGCTTCAAAAACCAGACTGGAGCTGAGGGAAGAAAATCCCTTGAACCACACCGTGGTAAGAGATTAATGGCTGCGTGTTGACGCGGTATCTGAATGTTAGTGATCTGTAATCAATGGCGCATTATTTTGCATACCATTGAAGGGCTGTCCCTGGTTGGGGCAGGCCTGAGTAGAAAGACTGCTGGGGAGGCTCTCCTCAAAGCTTTTCTCCTGCCTTCTGAGTGGTGTGCTCGAGTCAACATATTCACCACTTAAGTCTGTGTGTCTTGTTACTGGTGGGATATGTGTGGCGTTCCCTTTGATATGCTGGTGGCACATCGATGCTCTCAGCTGGATAAATTTCCAGCCTCCAATAGACCCTTAGGGTTTACCTTTCCAGTAAACTATGTAACAACAGGACTGTCTCTCTAGGCACCAGGGAGAGGAAGTCAAAAGAGAATGCAACCACACTTTGACCCATGGCCTCTTTATTGATTTAGAAATGAGACGGCTAAAGTCCTCCGTTCCTGTTGTCCCATCGAAGATTGTTTCTTGTTATGTTAAATAATGCCTTCCTCTGTCCAGGAAAGGCAAAGTGAACACCCCCTCCCCCAAGCCTAACAGGCCCGGGGAGGGTTAGTGTGCACGCTCTACCCCATCAGGGTGACGCTGAGAGAATTGGAATTGGTGTCTTCTCAGTGGCAGTAAAGAATTTTTGCTGAGAAAGTGAAATTTCCAGAGTAAATAGATGACTGCATTAATGTATGGGCCTCAAGTCTAAAGGGATCAACGTTTTCTGTGCTCTCAGAATACCAGTTGAACAGAAGTGAGAAGCAAGCAGGCAGCAAACCACCCTAGGAAAGGGTTTCAGACAAGTGGGTAGAAGCAGGCCCTGCAAGTCCTTTCTTTAACCCTTTATCCTTTTTTTTCCCTTTAACCCTTTCTGCTCAGATTTTAAGGCTAATGTTATATCGAACTAGAGTGTAGTTTCTCTTAGGAATGTGTGTGTAGGGATGGGCACTGCTGACTTGAAGGAGTGTCCTAAGTAACACACGTATTCTTCTTCTGCAAAGGTGGATGCAACTACAGCCCACAGGATTGATGGCTTGGCAGCGCTGAGCATGGACCGCGCTGGCCTGATCCGCGAAGGGCTCCGTGTCCCGGGAAACATCGTCTACTCTAGCTTGTGTGGACTGGGCTCAGAGAAAGGTCGAGAGGCTGCCACAAGCACTCTAGGTGGTCTTGGGTTTTCTTCCGAAAGAAATCCAGAGATGCAGTTCAAACAGAATACACCTGAGACAGTGGAGCCGCCTGCTGTCTCTGGAAAACCCCCAAACGGCTTCAGTGCTATCTACAAAACACCACCTGGAATACAAAAAAGTGCCGTGCCCACAGCAGAAACGCTGGGCTTGGACAGGCCTGCAAGCGACAAACAGAGCCCTCTCAACATCAATGGTGCTAGTTACCTGCGGCTGCCCTGGGTCAATCCTTACATGGAGGGGGCCACACCAGCCATTTACCCTTTCCTTGACTCGCCAAATAAGTATTCACTGAACATGTACAAGGCATTGCTACCTCAGCAGTCCTACAGCTTAGCTCAGCCGCTGTACTCTCCGGTCTGCACCAATGGGGAGCGCTTTCTCTACCTGCCGCCGCCTCACTACGTCAGTCCTCACATCCCATCATCCTTGGCTTCGCCCATGAGGCTCTCCACACCGTCAGCCTCCCCTGCCATCCCACCTCTTGTCCACTGTGCAGACAAAAGCCTACCATGGAAGATGGGGGTCAGTCCTGGGAACCCCGTTGAGTCACATGCCTATCCCCACATCCAGAACAGTAAACAGCCTAGGGTGCCCTCTGCCAAGGCAGTCGCTAGTGGCCTGCCAGGGGACACAGCTCTCCTGCTGCCCCCCTCGCCTCGGCCTTCACCCCGTGTCCACCTGCCCACACAGCCTGCTGCAGACACCTACTCCGAATTCCACAAGCACTACGCCAGGATCTCCACCTCTCCCTCAGTCACCCTGTCGAAGCCATACATGACGGTCAGTAACGAGTTCCCCACGGCCAGGCTCTCCAATGGCAAGTATCCTAAGGCTCCGGAAGGGGGCGAAGGTGCCCAACCAGTTCCCGGGCATGCCCGGAAAACAGCGGTTCAAGACAGAAAAGATGGCGGCTCACCTCCTCTGTTGGAGAAGCAGACAGTTACCAAAGATGTCACCGACAAGCCACTAGACTTGTCTTCTAAAGTGGTGGACGTAGATGCTTCCAAAGCTGAGCACATGAAAAAGATGGCTCCCACGGTCCTAGTTCACAGCAGAGGTGGAAGTGGCTTAGTGCTCTCTGGAAGTGAGCTTCCGAAAGAAACATTATCTCCTCCAGGAAATGGCTGTGCTATCTATAGATCTGAAATCATTAGCACTGCTCCCTCATCCTGGGTGGTGCCCGGGCCAAGTCCTAACGAAGAGAACAATGGCAAAAGCATGCCGCTGAAAAACAAGGCATTGGACTGGGCGATACCGCAGCAGCGGAGTTCTTCCTGTCCCCGCATGGGCGGCACAGACGCCGTGGTCAGTAATGTTTCGGGGTCGGTGTCGAGCGCAGGTCGTCCAGCCTCTGCTTCGCCAGCCCCAAATGCCAATGCAGATGGCACCAAGACAAGCCGGAGCTCCATGGACACCACACCATCCGTCATTCAGCATGTGGGCCAGCCCCCGACCACACCTGCCAAGCATAGTGGCAGCACCAGCAGCAAGGGCGCCAAAGCCAGCAACCCAGAACCGAGTTTCAAAGCAAACGAGAATGGCCTCCCGCCAAGCTCAATATTTCTGTCTCCAAATGAGGCATTCAGATCCCCACCCATTCCCTACCCCAGGAGTTACCTCCCTTACCCAGCGCCTGAGGGCATTGCTATCAGTCCGCTCTCCTTACATGGCAAAGGGCCTGTCTACCCTCACCCAGTTTTGCTACCCAATGGCAGTCTCTTTCCTGGGCACCTTGCCCCAAAGCCTGGACTGCCCTACGGGCTGCCCACGGGCCGGCCGGAGTTTGTGACCTACCAAGATGCACTGGGTTTGGGCATGGTGCATCCCATGCTGATACCACACACGCCCATAGAGATCTCTAAAGAGGAGAAACCAGAGAGGAGGTCCCGGTCTCACGAGAGAGCCCGTTACGAGGACCCAACCCTCCGGACTCGGTTTTCTGAGATGTTGGAAGCCAGCAACACCAAGTTACATCCAGAAGTCCCTACAGACAAGAACCCGAAGCCGAACCCTAGCTGGAATCAAGGGAAAACCGTTGTCAAAAGTGACAAGCTCGTCTATGTAGACCTTCTCCGAGAAGAACAAGATACTAAAACAGACACAAATGTGTCCAAACCTGGCTTCGCAGCCGAGAGTGTTGGCCAGAGCACAGAGCCCACCAAGCCCCCGGCTGACCCGGGCCTGCAGCAGCACCGGGATTTCATCGCCCTGAGGGAAGAGCTGGGGCACATCAGTGACTTCAACGAAGCATATGCTTTCAAACAGGCCCCAGGCCAGTCAGTCTTCAGCTTAAGCAAGGAGAATGTTCCAGCGGGTACCAACAAAGAGAACCTGGGACTGCCTGTCGCGACTTCATTCCTTGAGCCGACTCTGGGAGGCGATGGCCCTGCCATAACTTTTGGTAAAACCCAAGAGGAGCCCAAACCATTTTGTGTAGGCAGTGCTCCCCCATCGAGTGTGGATGGCACCCCCCCCACCTATACCAAAGATGGATCTGATGATGCCGAATCAAATGATGGCAAAGTTCTGAAACCGAAGCCATCCAAACTGGCAAAAAGAATCGCAAACTCCGCTGGTTACGTTGGTGACCGATTCAAGTGTGTCACTACCGAACTGTACGCGGATTCCAGTCAGCTCAGCCGAGAACAGCGGGCATTGCAGGTGAGCCCCCCCCACCCCAACTTCAACCCCTTCACCAGCTGTCAGTTTTTTAATGTGTAAAGAGGATTGGGGGAGTATGGTAGGGCAGGGCCCCAGTCAGAATGTGGTTAGTTCAGCTTACGGTAATTTGAACGTATGAAATGTGCCCAGTAAGGGGATGTGAGTGGTAACACTTAGGAGGTTCGTGTGTCTGTGGATACGTTAACTTATTCTGTAGCTTTTAAAAGAACTCCACTCGAAAGGTGATAACGTAAGTTGTAAATATTGTGAAGGCTATCTAAAGACTGCATGACGATTACCTATCAATTGCTTTGATTTCTCTGCCTTTACTGTAAGATAGCAAATATGGCTAGAAGTGCTGCTTAGAATGCCTTACATGATACTTGGTGGAGATGTGTAGCAGCCGCATGTCTGTGGGATTCGTGCAATTTTTTTCACCAAAAAAAAAAAAAAAAAAAAAAAAAAAAAAAAAAGGACAGAAAAGCTCGCTTAAAGGGATAGAGTATGTATTTAACTTGCTAGTGAATTACGATAGATGTTGTATAGGAATTTCCTAAGATATTTTACTTTTAATTAAAAGATGAATAAAGCCAAATTGTTTTGCAATGTTAAGAAAAAAATTGGTTTATGCTTATAAAAATGGATGAAATTATCTAAATGATCCATTGAGTGCCCATTTTAATTACATAGATGGAAGGATTACAAGAGGACAGTATTTTATGTCTACCCGCTGCTTACTGTGAGGTCAGTTCTTCAAATTTTTATTACTAGAATCTTACATAAACCTTTTGAGTTAAATTTCATTTCCAAATATGCAAAGGGAAGTTTGTGGGCCATGGTCGTCTTTATTCATTGTGCATTTTGTTTCTTTTCTGTTGTGTTTTTGTTTTGTTTTCTTTGCGTTGTGTTTTTGTTTTATTTACCTTCAAAAGAGAATGTCTGTCTCTTTGCAATAGTGTATGTATGGACATACATACACACCACACATGTATCTCTACACATACGACTTTATGAAAAGAATGTGTGACTCCTTACATTTAGATACTCTTACATTTTATCTGTTAAATTTTAAACATATCTGAGTTGTATCTCATAAATTGTGGTTGGTTTTGGGCAAGCTTTTCTTTGAAAATAATTTCCGTTAAGGTAAGGCCAACGAACTAGCTTTTATGGTAAGGTGTTGTTTTTTTTCATCTCTATTCTCTTTCTAGCGTGCAATGATGCGCTTCTCTGAGTTGGAGATGAAAGAGCGAGAAGGTGGCCACCCAGCAGCCAAAGACTCCGAGGTGTGCAAATTCAGCCCAGCAGACTGGGAGAGGCTGAAGGGAAATCAGGACAAAAAGCCAAAGTCGGTCGCCCTGGAGGAGGCCATTGCTGACCAGAATGACAGTGAGAGATGTAAGTAAACCCGAGTGACTTGTGTGTGTTGCCTCATTGGCAAGAACGGGGCAATCCTGCTGTTAACCTGAGAGTGTTCGCGAGCAGAGGGGAGGCAAAAGGAAGCGATTCAGTTCCGATGGCCCGGGGTCCAGTTAGCGTCTCCTCGTAGAAGGGGACTGCTTTGCTACCTGTGAAATGGAGGGCTGATTGTCCTTTTGAATGTTGTGTCCTCCAGGAATGAAGCATCTATGAGAGGTTATTGGCTTATAGTTAGAAACATTGTCTAGTGGGAGGGTACACAATGTAGCAGAGGCATGGCAATGCTAGAGATCAAGTGTGGTTTAGACAGGTTTCATTTTGTAGCAGTGGAATTACACTTCCCAGCCAAACAGGCACCATAGTGTTCCCCTTATTTCCCTACCCCACTCTGCTCCCGCGAGTATTGACAGTCTGATAGAGAATGGACAGTTCTAGTATTCTCCCTCCAAAGGCACAGGTTTCATTGAAATGGCATCAAGGGTAATGAAGGCACCATGAAGAGGAGCATAATCACTGTACTGTGTCAGGTTTAAAATTTGCCACCATTAGGAATTGGCAACATAATTCAAACGAGCATGGCATAAATGAGGTTGTTCTTCCCACCAGTCAGGGCAGATTATGTTTTGGGAGGCGAAATGAGGAGAGAGAGAGAAAGTGATCTAGCACTTTCCTCAGGTCAGTCTCTTCCCTCCCAACAGCTGATCACCCACCATCGTCACTTCAGGTTTGCTTACAATTGATAAAATGTGTTGGCAGCAAGTGGTGAGGGCCTTGCTCCTCATTTCTTAGATGTGCATGATTTAGACCTGAGGCCTGCTCTGGACCTCTGAAACCTCATTGGCAAAGGTGTCTGGGTGAACACTGGGGAAGAGAGGGTGTGTAAAACCTTCCTGAGACAAGACAGTCAGGAACGCTGGGTACATCTGAGAGCTCTGCCATTGGAGAAATCCTAGGTTTGATGCTCCCACCCATGCTTATTTCTCCAGTGCTTGATGGGGTTTGAGAGAATTTGTGGTCTGGGAGAGCATGCTCCTCACCCTGCTCCCTCAACCCTCAGCCCTTCCTTGGGTCAGCCAGACAAAGGCCACCAGCCAGGGCCAGGGTTCTCCCGAAGTCAAACCAGGACCAGTTTGTTCAAAGTTAGTCCTAAAGAAGAGAGTACTATTGCTAATAAATGGTGGCCAAGTGTGAGCGACTTTTGGTGTATCTGAAGTAAAGGTTTCCTTTCTCTTTTTTTACCTCAGAGGATTGAGGGCAGAGAGCTGGATATGGGGAAAAGAGGGTCCAAGCTGTCCTTCAGTAAAGCAGAAAAGAACAAACTTTCTCCTCTGATGCCGTTTCCATCTGAGTTGCTTCCTAACATCAGCCGCTGGGGAGGTTTCTCAGAGACTTGGTAGGAAGTGGGGCAAGGCTGAGTTGACAGGAAGGTGCTTCTAGGGAGGGAAAACATGTTCTGCGTGGATGGTGAGGGAGGCTGGAGGAAGGGGGCAAGAAATAGGTCAGCCTCAAATATTCTTAACCTTTGGTTTTTAAGATGGCCAGTCCCAGGGTGGCCACTGCCCTTCACATCTAGTGGCAGTAGCAGCTCAGTGTCTCCCCTGCCTTCTTCGCTGAGAAGTTTGTGTCCTTCCCTGTCTTTCTTGCTGAACCTAGAGAAGAGAACACAGTGTGGCCAATGAGGAGCAAGGTCTCTTCTTCCCACCCTTAGACCCCTCCAAGCTTCAGTCCAATTGGCTCTGTCCCGGAGCACCCTGAACAGGCCCAGCAAGCCTTGCTGCTGCTGCTCCCGCTTCATCCAGGGCTAGGGTCTTAGGCTGGACAGACAGTGCTAGATCCATTCAGCTGCAAATTAACTGGACCTTCTTTGTCCTTTTGGCCACCACGTCTGCCTTGGGTGTCAGTGTGGCAGGAGAACGGAGCTGTGAGCAGATGTGAGCTGGGGTGGAGATTTGGGGAGGGTAGGGGTCACAAAAAGGGTATGGGACACTTCCCAGAAGCCTTCCCCCTTCTGAGGCAGCCCTCCACTTCTGGAGGCACTGGTAACTTCTGGTCTTGCCTCCAAAAAGCACCTGAGATGGCTGGATGCTTCTGCTGCCTAGGGGTGGGTGTGTCTCACTGGGAAGGGTTTGTTTAAGAAAAGTGAGTTAACTTGAAACACAACGGTTAGGATTTTCATTTACTCTTTATGATAGTACGGGCAGCGGGATTAAGTTTTTATTTCAGTTAGGAGTTCAACAAATCAGTTAGGAAGAGCCTCAAACTTGAAAGCTCATTAGGCCATTTGTCACTAGGAACTATCAGTGGCATTTTGAAGATGGAGAGGGACAAGGAAGTATTGGTCCCTTCCTTTTTGAGCATAAAGTGACCATTTTCCTTGCCAGCCACTTGGCTTGGGTGGACCTAGGTCCTACTCAGTGGCATTACTGTGATGGGACCTGGACAACGAGACAGGAAGGGCTCGTCTTGTAGGGGGTGCTCTTGTTTAGCAAGGAGCAGTACAAGAGCTTCACATAACTTAGCTCAGCAAACTTCTGGTAGAGCACCTGTGTGTTTTGTAAACTACTTTGAATTCGAAGCAGAGAGATTCCCAGTGCCTTTTCCATAGAGGGTGTAAGTTTTAAGAAGGTTAGCCTCTACTGGAGGTGATAGTTACCTGCAGAGGAGAGAGTTTAAATCATGGGTAGCCCCCTCAAGTGTCTTAATACTCTCTCATCTTGTTTGGGACTCACTGGGCATGGTTACCACCGTGGTGAGGTTGCTTTGTTGCCACGGCGACTTGTAAATGTTGCCATGGCAATGCTTCTGTGAGGTACTGCTATGGCACAACCATGATAAATTATGGGATGCATGTGCTGTGAGTCATATGATTGTGCTGCAGGGAGCAAGTGTTAAACCACGACCAACCCAGCCACGTTCACATCTGCCTAGACCGCATGACCAAGGGCACATGGCTTCTCGCTTTTAGAAGGGCCAAAAGTAGCAGCGATAGTGGAACCTGATGGTTAGGAGCCCTGCCTGTCATCTTTGCTCCTTTCGAGTATGCTCTCAACGGTAATCCTGTGGTTGGTTAGTGGTTGAAATGGCCTTATGTGTGGAGGTCCAAGTTAAGGTGTATAAGAACATAACATGGAGCCTTCCCCTCGTAGCTGATGGTTGTGTGTATCTTGGGCAGTCTGGGTGGGTGGTCTTCAGTTTTATTACTGGACTGCTTAAGTTATGCCAACAAATGGTCTTGTCTTGGCGTCCCTTAGGGGAGTCAGTCTTTGCCCTGAGAGGCTATAGTGAAAAAGTCTCACTTCTTTTAAGTTTTTCCTCATAATGGCTTGGGAGGGGGAGGGGGTGAAACTAGTTTGGGAAAAGATCCTCTCAGAGAAATGGAAAAGAAAGCAGCTAAACTATGTGTGTGGGCGGGTGTGATTTCAATGAACACTGAATTTAGCAGTCCAGGATTCCTGATAATAGTCCAGGATGAGGAACCACAGGCACAGGTCCCTCGTGACCAGGCGGGAGAGGAAGGTCCATAGGGTCAGCTCTAGCCTCCCAGGCCATGAGCATAGGAGCACAATCCCAGTCAGAGCAGGCTTGTGGGCAGTGGCAAGAACTTGCTCACTGGCCTCCCCGTGAGCCGGGGCACAGGAGTTGGTGTATGAAAGGGAACCCTCTCCACTGGCGGGGGAAGGGGGAGTTTACCAGATGGGGAACCCAGAAGGGCTGTAAGAAATGAGACAGACATGAAGGGCTCATCTTCTGAGGGGTGCTCTTGTTTAGTGGGGGGCAGGGAGATGAGGTCCCCAGCCGGTCACTGCTCACTCGGTTCTATGAAATAAATGACCACAAGTTCTCCAGGCGGTTTTCTATGGGCAAAAGATGCTGGCCTTTTTGGCAGAAGGTTGGGTGGGTGAGGTATGAGCTAGTGTCACTGTTAGAAAGGAAGCTGGCAGGGAATGTGGACTCCACACTGAAGGGAAAACTTAAGTGGAAAACCTTCTCCCTGAGAAAGACTCAGTCTAGACTGTTCCAAATAGAGGTGACTACAAGGAAACTGGAGTCCAAATATGACATGTTGAAGTTGAATCTGAAAACAGATTCTTAATTTGATTAGGGAAGGGAGCTCATTTTGGGTGGGGCCCCACACTGGTTCAACCGCTGTTTGATTGTGACCTTGGAAGGCATTGTGACATCAGCTAACTTGGCTTTCAAACCACCTAGTGTGAAACCATCCTCCTTACCCAAAGTGGGGGAGAGAGCACATTTTAAACCTAATGTTAAAGTTGCGCAGCATGATGGCTCTTCAGGTCATCCTTACATTTTCATACTGTGTCCCCTTCCCCTCCCACGAGACTGTCAGGGAAGACTGATTGGACTAGGGAAGTCAAATGACATAATTAACAGGGATCACATCTTGAAATCTTATAAATATAGAGGCTCAAATGCCAGCTGGTTTGAGAGTCGTAGCATCCATCCTTTTGTTAAAGCGGTTCCTCCAGCCTTTCCATTGGCGATGCTTAGCCTGTGTTTATGAAGGCTACCCCTGGGAGGAGGTTCGCAGTAATTCCCACTTTACAGCTGAAGGGGGCCAAGTTGTAAAGTGGCACTGTTACTGCTAGAGTGGTTAAGAGGGTCACAGAGCAGACGAGAGGAGAACCCGCAGCCCGCTTGTGCACATCCCCCAGCCACCGCTGAGTCCTTTGGTCCTCTTATTTGCTGAGACTTGTATGCATGGCTGTGGGGTTTGGGGGAGTCTGTGTGTTTTCTCCTGCCACTGCTGCTGCCACTGCTGAGCAATGTGTTAGAACCCTGCCACAACGAAAGGCCTCTGTTGGCCCTGTTCTTTGATGCCCACCAGTGCCAGGTGTATCTCAGAGACCTGGAGTGGAGGGTGGCCCTGGCTGCTGAGTCCTGGACTCTCAGTGTCTAGCTTTCCAGCTTTCCCAGTCCATGTGGTGGACCATTGTGAGTTGGGAGGAAGAATGGTTGGGAGGCTCAGCCATTCCTTTTCAAGAGTAGACAGCCCCAGTAGTCCCGTCCTGCCTTAGGAAACCCTTGAAGAGGAGGTAAATGCACTCCATCCATGGTTGAAAGGACAGGCTAGCCAAGGCCAGGGAGAAGCTCACCACCAAAAATGACTGCCACTAGATGCTGGGAATGCCACCAAGAGAAGGTTCACCAGGGGTCAAGCCCAGCTGGTCAGAAATGGGAGTGCTATTTGGACACTAGGGTAGGAGGAATGAGTATTAGCATAGGCAGCATAGGTTTAGTATCTGATCTGGAAATTGACTTGTGTCGCTAAGCTCAGTGTTCCCAAAATACCATACGTATCTTCCTGGTGATGTGATGTCCACGATCATTTTAGGAAGGATAAGGGTGAACACCTTAATGCTATTGTGATTATGAAGTAATCATTGTTAATATTTTATTGTACATTAGAAAGAATGCAACCAGCAAGGCAGTTGATGAGTTAGTTCTTAGACTGGAGCAAAAGTAGGAAGTGATGTTGGGCAGAGAGGAATGAGCAGAGGGTGCTAGAGTGAGCAGAGGTAGCAAGTGTTGACTTAGTATATGAAAGGTAACACGTGGCAGGGATGGGGATAGCAGCTTGTCTGGTGATTTCTCTTGGATGCAGAAGTGTGAAGGCAGGAGTGCCTGCTGGGCTGACTCATGTCCCTGTGGGTGTGTGCTTTGTCACTGGGGTACTGGGGTCTGGAGGCCCTCCTCTGGACAGGAGGAGGCTTTCCTTCCTGGGCAGGAAGTAAGGGTAGCCCCTTGGTTTAGCTTTTCCCTCCACATGTGTAAAAAAGAGGACAGGGTGAGGTGCAGTGATCAGATTAAGTTCTTTGATGTTGCCTCTGAACACGTGCATGGGCTAGAACAACTTGGTTTTGGCCATTTCAGGCCTCTCTTCCCAATACCTTTGGTCTGCCCAGCTTCTTGCCTCTCTCCCTGGAAGGCAGCAGCAGCCTGCCTCTGGGCCTGGAGCCCTCCAGGAGACACCATCACTGCCCACAAAGGACCTGTCCCTCTTTCTTCATCATCTCCCCTGTTGACCCAAGTGAATATTGGTGTTATTCCTTCTGTAGGTGCCATTTTGGGAATCTTGGATTTAGCTACTGAAAGAAAGGACTTCATGTTCTTTTTTTTAAAAAAGAGAGTGTTGATGACCCCATCTCATTTCCTGGCTCCCTCATGCCCCCAAATATGAAAAGGTAGAAAAAGAAAATTGTGAGTCTGGTGTACCGCCCGCATTCTGCTTTACTTCCTGATTGTCTTCAGCGTGCCCTTCCTTTGGAGAGTTCTGTTTCTGAGGGTCTTACGCTTATGCATAAGGACTCTGGTCTCCACGGAAGACTCTATCAATAGCAGATGCCCTTGAGTCGGAACTGACTTGATGGCGCCTAACAACAACAACCACCTTGGCCATAACGGTCCTGCCTGCTCCCCAAATCCTTCCTTCTTGTGGTGGCCTTTTGGCTCTTTGTTTATCTATTGTCTCCCCTCCCCCTAGGCGAGTATAGTGCTGGGAATAAACTTGATCCCTTTGAAGCCCAAGAAGACAAAGATCTTCCTGTGGAGAAGTTTTTCGTGGAGAGGCAGCCTCTGAGCGAGCCGCCCACTGACCCGGTGGCTGTGGACATGCCTCACAGTCCCACCCTCCGACTGGACAGAAAACGCAAAGTCTCAGGTGACAGCATCCAAACTGAGACCGCTGTGGAAGACATGCCAGAGGACCCCCTGCTAAAAGCCAAGCGAAGACGAGTCTCGAAAGGTAAGCTTGGTCAGCTTCGGCTGTCTGCTTGGGGGCCTGTGCATGCGACCAGAGGTAGACGGACGTGTAGGTGTGGGTGTGAGGCACGCTGCCCACCCTAGACGCAGGGCGCTGCCCCCTAGACCTTCTTAGTGAGCACAAGTCCAAGGATTCCCACCCTAGAGTCCCAGGGATTTGGATACCTATAGCCTAAGGGAACTGCCTGCACCCCCCTCACCCCTGTGCACCACCCCCTCCCAAAGCCAGATGTAGGAGCTCAAGCCCAAAGATGGCCAAAGACAACTAGGCCTACTTCCCAAGACTTGGTGACTTGTTCGGGCAGAGACAGTGACCACGCCCCTCCCCCTCCCCCACCCCATTAGTGATGCATAAGACAGTTTGTTCCCCGAGGGGGCTTTTTGATTAATTTGTAGTTATTTTTCCATTAGATGACTGGCCTGAGAGGGAAATGACAAACAATTCCTCTAACCACTTAGAAGACCCACATTATAATGAGCTGACCAACCTGAAGGTGTGCATTGAATTAACAGGGCTCCATCCTAAAAAGCAACGCCACTTGCTGCATCTTAGAGAACGCTGGGAGCACCAAGTGTCACCAGCAGAGAGCAAACCTGGCCGACAAAACAGGAAGGAAGTGACCCAGGCAGTTCAGCCTGAGGTCACTGCCCAGGGGAATAACATCACCGAAGAGAAACCCGGCAGGAAAAGATCAGAGGCCAAAGGCAATAGAAGCTGGTCGGAAGAGTCCCTCAAACCCAACGACAATGAACAAGGTACTCGAGGCTGCCCCTCTACTGTCCTGTGAGGCATGCCCGCCCCACTCCTGGAGAGTGGGTCCCCTGTGCTCAGTGGGGAAAGGGCCACGGAGGGGACCTTAGGGGCATAAAAGTTGACTCTGACTGGAAGTTGACTCCTTAGGGGGAGTTATTCCATGATGTCCATTCACACCCCCTTGCCTTTCCCTCCCCACTTCCTTCCGAACCTACAGTGAGGAGTGCAGTGGACAGAGGGGAGCTTGAATTCCCCAGCTGCCTCACCCAGCTGGAAGTGGGGTTCGAGTGGCCCTGGGAGCTTGCCAGTGCCCTCATTGCATCCTCAGGCTGTCTTCCATCTGGGCCCTGAGCACCCAGGCTGGCCTGCCTTGGGAAAATCCTGCACCCGCTCCAGCGGGTTGGGGTGGGAGAGCAGGAAGAGCTGGCTTTTGCCCTCTTGTCCGGGCACTTTGAAGAAACTTCCCCCTTGGTGTTTTGTGGGTTAACCTATTTGCCGTTTGAATGTGGGGTAATTAAAATATTAATGCTTTGAAAACATAATTGGTATATCTTTAAAAACTGAAGCTGCTGCAGTGATCAGTGTTAACAATGGGCTTTTCTTTCCGCACCGGCTACAACTGTGTAACGCCTGCTTCTTTTCCCCCTCCCTCCTGCCCGCCCGCCTGCCGCCGCCCCCCCCCCCCCGTATTTAGGTTTGCCTATGTTCTCCGGCTCTCCGCCCATGAAGAGCCTTTCATCCACCAATGCAAACGGCAAAAAGCAGACCCAGCCAAGCTGTACGCCAGCCTCGAGGCCGCCTGCCAAACAGCAGAAAATTAAAGAAAGCCAGAAGACAGATGTGCTGTGCACAGACGAAGACGAGGATTGCCAGGCCGCCTCCCTGCTGCAGAAATACGCCGACACCAGCGAGAAGCCATCCGGGAAGAGACTGTGCAAAACCAAGCACTTGATACCTCAGGAACCCAGGCGAGGGTTGTCACTGACAGGGGACTACTACGTGGAGAATGCTGACGGCAAGGTACCTCTTGACCTCCCCCCTCCCGCCTCGGGCCTGTGTGAGCACATCCCGCCTGCCTGCTGCTCACAGAGAAAGCTTTTTTCCCTGGACTTCTCCCCAAAACATTGCTCTCCTGTCCTAGAGGTGTATGTCTCTTGCTGGGGGGTGGTTAGGGTGAAGTTTCAAACTAGAAAGATTCAAACCCCTCCCCTTTGATGCACTACCCCACCCCCCACCTTCCCAAAAAAAGGGAAAGGAAAAAAAAGGCTTTTTGCGGGGAGGGATTTGTAACCTGGGAAGGAGGCAGGGATGAGAGGGGGTGTTGGAAGACACGGCCTTAACTGTGCACTGCCTGGTTTTGTGACAGGTGACCGTCCGGAGATTCCGCAAGCGACCAGAGCCCACTTCAGACTATGATCTGTCACCAGCCAAGCAGGAGCAGAAGCCCTTCGACCGTTTGCAACAATTTCTCCCAGCTTCCCAGTCGTCGCAGCTGCCGTGTGCAACTTCCCCTCAAGAGACAACCCAGTCGCGCCCGATGCCACCGGAAGCCCGGAGACTGATCGTCAATAAGAATGCTGGCGAGACTCTCCTGCAGCGGGCCGCGAGGCTTGGCTACGAGGTGAGTCTCTCCCTGTGGGTGTTCTGGAGTGAGAAGCCACCGACTGTGGATGGGCGGGTGCCCACACTGGTGGAGGGGGGTACACTTGGAGTGTTGGAGCAGAGCCCACCTCCCCCCCACCCCAACATGAGGGGCTGGGCCAGGCTTTCTAGCAGGATGTTTGTGTTAGCCCGCCTCAGCACTGTCTCTTTGGTGGTGCATTCAATCGCGGTGTGAAAAGAAAGGCCTCTCTGATGTTCAGTTCATGTTCAGGCAGGTAGACTTCTTCGGCATCCTCCAGTCTCGCTAGCTTATCTCTGATACAAAATCTGACATAACTCAGGGCTTGGTGACTGGGGGAATTTTAATGAGCCTTTTTGGATTCTGATTAGCGAGGTGAGATGACTTGCTGCGTTTGGGGCTGCCTGTGCTGTTTGGGTGGAGAGGTCTCCTGTGGGGGAAGCGACAGGGAGGAACAGACCTGAGCGTTCTCTGAGAGAGGCCAAGGGAACCCCAGGAGGGAAGAGATGAGTTCAGGAGGAGGGGGACTCACTGCCCCTCTGCCTCTCCCCGCTTCCCCCAAGCCCCCACCCAGCACGGCCGATGAGAATGATAGCTTATGTTGACAATGTGCTCTTTCTAAGCCCATACAATCCATCAAAAACCAAACCGGTTGCCACTGAGTCGGTTCTGACTCATAGCGACCCTATAGGACAGAGTAGAACTGCCCCACAGGGTTTCCAAGGCTGCAGTCTTTACGGAAGCAGACTGCCACATCTTTCTCCAGTGGAGCAGCTGGAGTGGCTGGTGGGTTCAAACCGCCAACCTTTCAGTTAGCAGCCTAGCACTTAACCACTGTGACACTAGGCCTCCTCTTATGTGTGGTTCACAGTAACTCATTTAACCCTTTCAAGCACCTCATGTGGTAGTAACTAGTAGTATCCCCGCTTTCAGATGAGAAAATTGAGCCCCAGAGGGATTAAATGGCGTCACCCACTACTGCACAGGGAGTAAGTGGGGGAGTCCAGATTCAGCCCCTGCCATCTGGCTCCAAAGCTCAGCCCTCTCCCCACCCCCCTGCTCCAGCTTCTCTCCAGGACTGGCTTGCATTGGAATTGCTCCCTTACAGTTCAAACCCTCTGCTAGATAGATGACTCCCGCTGTCCTAGTGCGGCCCTCCCCACCACACACTTGTCACTTGAAATTGTGATGCAGTAGCCCACAGGGCGAAGACTTTTTTTTTATGCTGGCATCAGCCCTTTGGGAATTGAATGGTGAAAATAAAATGTGGCTCGGCAAGCTGCATGCGGAGGCGTGGAGGAGCGCGGAGGTGGCAGGATTGAGGCTGGCCCGGGCTCGGCTGCAGACGCCCAGGATTTGGCCGGAACTCTTGCTCCCACACCTCAACCAACTCAGTGCTGCTGTCCATTATGCCTTGAGCCTTTCCTGGTGTGACTGCCCATTAGTGCCTCTCCCCTGCCACCCCCACCCCAGTTGGTCCCTGAGGAATGATTGTGTGGGTGGGAAGTTGGCAGTCGGCTAACACCCTTGTGGGATCGTCCTTTGAAGCCCCAGCGTTTTCTTAGCTCAGGGTATTTTTGGTTGTGGTTTGTATCAACTTGTCTCTTGTATTTTGAGATCTCTTGATTATCTTGGAGAGAGCTCTCTGGAATGATTCGGTACAGTTAGCTCAGTCGCTTGCAAATGCAAATGAAATCCAAGTGGCGGCCAGTGGTTTCCCGTGAGCTGAGAGCAGCAGCACCTAAGAGGATGGGTAGATGTTGCATATAAGCATTCCCTTCCAATGACGGCTAATGGGGACTGAGAAAACAAGCTTCTGCTTTCGGCAAGCACCAGAGTGTAGGGAAGGCTTGATGGTTTGTGCAGTGCAGTGCTCACAGGCCCTGTCTCTCCGAGGCCCTGGCCTGCCCTTGCACTTGGCGTCATTTCCACCAGTCTCACCCACTTTGGGACCAGAGGCCTAGAGAGACCCTTGCTGGTCCTCTGAGTAGCAGTTTCCATTTTGTTTGCATAGAGCTGGGTCCTAAACCAAGGAGCAACTTGCTCCGTACTTTTCTAGGCTACCAGGCCTTTGGTGGCACATGAGGCCATGAGGGTGTGTACGTAAGGATAACTGATTTTGTCTCCTCAAGTGTAAATTGCAAGATGTGCATTTCACAGGTAACCAGGATGAAAGCTGGGGTTTCTTTGCCAAATTTAAAGTGTTGGGATGGAGACTAGGTCCCATGTGGAGGTTTAAACCTGTTAAAGTGGAAGGACAATTTGCTTAACCTGGTTAAGGTACAGTTGGAATGCACAGCATTAGTATGAGAGTTTTCCTGAAGTCGGTCTTTACCATTGTCACTTACTTGCTCAGCTGAAGATGCCATGTGCAGTGTAAAAGGCTGTCTGAGCTTTTTGTCACGTTCATCTGGTTCTTGAGACTGGGAAACACCCTGTCTCCAGATCTGCGTTAAAGACAACACTTGAATGGCCAGAGATGCCCAAACCTTTCCCGTCCTGTAAAAGGCTACTGTTTTTGGTTTAAAATGTGAATGTGCCACCACATGCTTGTGTGTTTCGTGGTGATGGTTAAATTTTCTATGAATTGAATAAATCATGTTTTTAAAAAAGTTAATGAGGCATTTAATTAATTAGCAATGTCGGGTTTATGGCCTTTATGGTTACATCTTGCGGTTAATGGCATTCAGCTTATAGCCGCTTAACAGAGAATGGTCCAACAAAAACAGTGTGATTTTGTTTGGGAATGGGTGGGCTGCCCGTCCGACACTCCCATTTCTAGTGTAGGAAATAAACCAACAAGTGTATTGGGTAGACAGAATTGTCTGGCCTCTTAGCTATTCTCTCTGTTGTTGATGGCGGTTGCCATCTATTTAAATGCTGCCCTCCTCCCAGCTAGGAGGGTGTAGTTAGTCTACTTGACCTCAAGAGAGAGGGTCTAGCGATGCTGGATTAGAGAGCTGGATTGCAGCCCGCAAACTGGGACCCGTGATTGGGCCTTTGAAGTCTTCCCAGTGGACCCAGGTACCATGAGACGTGAGTTACAGGTCTAGTACTTCTCGTTAATTTGAACTTGAGGTTTAACCTCTCTGGGCCTCAATTTACCTAAGTGTCCAATGACAGCAACCCCACCTTCTGTTCCCGATATCTCTTAAACGTTACTGTGGGATAGCAGAGGCATTCTCATTTGAGGACATGAGAAGTACTGTGTAAATAGTGATATCACCACTGTTGAGTTAGGACAGCCCGTGACAAAAGCATGACCTGGCTGTCGGACCATTAGTGCCTTTACTGCCATCCTCCAGGAGGAGAGTTGACTTATCCTCGAATCAGCCCTAGCAGCCATGAAGGTTTCCAGGTGAAGGCCATGATTGTCAGAACAAATAAACCCTGGGTTGACAGGACAGCAGGCAGGCTGCTGGGATCCGGGTAAATTGATCTGTGCACAGCAGTTGGTGGCGCTCAGACCTGATCCCGGAGTCACGTGACAGGGCCTCTCCCTGGCTGGGGCACACAACTCATTAGCTTGCAGCCGTCCACTCGAGTCTGGCTAGTGAGGGCCTGCTAAAAGAGCAGCAGCTTCATGCGGTATCCTGGATACCAGCGCTCAGGGAAGGTGGCCTGGGAGCCCAGAGGATTGTGGGCTTTCTGGCAGGTTAGGATCTGAATGAAGAAATGCATTTGTAGGCATGCTTTCTCTCTTCTGCCTCTTGTTTTGGGAGGGAGCTGCCACTGTAGCCTAAAGCAACACGGTACTGATGGAGGTTTACCAGAATGGAACATTAGGTTTACAGGGTGCACATATGGAACATTCTAGTTAACACTCAAGTGAGTGAGCATTTTGATTGACGTGTCCCAGAAAGGCATACAGGTTTTCAGAACCCACCTTGGGTTGATGAGCAGGCTAGATGACCCCTGTCTTAGATTTAGCAGATGAGTAATTAAGAGCTGTCACAAAGGGCATCCCACCCTGACCCCATCAAGCAAGTGGACCATGTGTTGGGCTACTCGTGCTCTCTGCCTACCCCCAGTTCTCAGAACCCAACAGCTTTTTGCTAGGTATGACTTGTAGGAAAATAGTAGACCATGTTTTCTGGTGGCAGATACTCTTCTCTGTGTTGGAAAACTTTCTTAATCAAGGTAATAGAACATCGAATAAATTACTGCTCTGCTTACCGGGAGAGGTTCATATTAATATTTTAACACACCAAAAGAAGCGAGATTAATAACAGTGATTCTCACGCAAACTGTTGACACAGAGCACATTCTGAAAAGGTGGAAGGGAAGACTTGTGTTTTATTTAGTTCTTGAAATGTGTAGGTTGTAGAATGTGGTATATCAGATTCCTGTAATTAACTTATGTAAATATGAAAATATTCTATTGATTCAGCCCCGAGCGGGGTGATGAGTGAGGCAAAATAGAAAATGGGGCTACTTGAAGCATTTCCCGTTGTTTCTTGATGATGTATGTGGTATATGTAGAGAGACTTTTCTTTAAGTCTACTTAGTATAAAACCAGAAGCATTGCCGCCCAGGATCAGATTCCTTGTCCTAAAAAGGGTGTGAGGACATAGCTAACCTCCTGGGTGTCCCTCTCTTAAGCTGAGGTGTTCTCTCGCTCATCAGATCTCTCTGCATGGGCCCTTCGGCCATACTTTTATCTGAGCTTTTGTTGTCATCACCATCACCTATTGAATTAACCGATTTGGAATGTCCTTGTACGTATTAATGCGTCATTTAAGATATTAGCAGCCAGGATCCCTCTGTACACATGATGCCAGGCACTGGGCTAAGGGCTTTTGTAGGATTATCTAATCACATCCTTCCAATGCCCCTGTGTAGGCTCTGTGATTCTCCTCGTTTTCACAGAGGAGGAAATGGAAGCTTGGAGAAGTTTCTTTCTGACCCAGGGCCAGGCAACTGGGGCAGTGGCAGAGCCAGGTTTCAAACACAGTCCTAGACTGCAGTTTACTCCAATACCAAGCCCAGATATCCTCTGCCTACCCAGGCCCAAGGGTGTGTGTCTTTGAAAGTAGGCACTACCAAGCTATGGAAAGGTAACCCTTACGTGGTGTATTTGGCAGTGATCTAATGGTGGTCCCCCGTCCCCTCTCCACAGGAAGTGGTCTTGTACTGCCTGGAGAACAAGATTTGCGACGTGAATCATCGAGACAACGCAGGTTACTGTGCCCTGCATGAAGCTTGTGCAAGGGGCTGGCTCAACATCGTGCGACACCTGCTAGAATATGGCGCTGACGTCAACTGCAGTGCCCAGGATGGAACCAGGTCAGTGGTGGGTTTGGCTCTCAGCCTGGGCACAGGTGGTGGTTCTCAGGGTGTGCAGGAGACCTTGGAGGAAAGATGATGGGAGGGACGTGTGAGTACATTGATGGCAAAATCCTCTGGAATTGAATCAGGCAGACCTTTCTGGCAAATTAGGTATAACTTTAAACGTTTATGACGTGTTCTGGGGTTTTCAGCATCATTTTCTTTTTCCTCTCATCCCAAGATGCTACTAGAAAGCATTTGTGAGCTTTTCTGACTGTGACCTCTAACTCCTTTAATGAAAAGAAAGAGAACAGCACGTAGTTACCCTAGTAGGATTGATTCTGGCTTCTAAATTGATTATCTGTGTGTGTGTGTGTCTTTGCCTGGGTTATGTAAGGTATGCTTCAGTGTTACACTTGAACTTACATTGTGGTTCCGGTTTGGTAAAACTTTTGTTGTTGTTTTTATACACCCTGGCCTTTTCCCTTAATTTCTTGATCTGTGAATTTTTTTCTTTCTAAAAGTTCAGTGACCAAGCTATTCCCGTACTCAAAGACAAGAAAAAACAACATACAGCTGAGATGGAGACAAATGGGACATTTTGTTGCTGCTTCAAAACCCTTTTTTTTTTCTGAATTGCCATAACTTTGCACTGGAGCCCAAAAGAAGAAGCTGAGGGGCTCCCTGCTCCCTGAGTCCTTGTGGTCTCCATAGTCCTCCACGCTGAGGCCTGGCTTCTCAGCAACTCTGAGGTCACACTCATCATTACCTCCGACCTTTACCATCAGGGTCCCTCTTCCTCAGCTGGGGACCTGGGGGGTATTTGGGGCCCTCCGTCTTCCTACTTCTGTGCATATGTGTGTTTGTCACTTCCCCTCAATTGGGGAATCACAAGGGAGGGCAGTCAGGTGCTGTGGACAAAAGACCCTGGAAATGTTAGGCCTTATGAATAATCAGTGCTGTTGAATTTTAAGACCCTGGGCTCTTCCTTATTTAGGAAATCAACATACTCAAAATATATGTGAACTGAAAGTCCTGGGAGTACAGACAGAGGACCATGGCCACCGGCTTGGTAGGAGCTGCCGTGACCGACCCCCCCTCCCCAAATCCCTGGCCTTCACTCTGTCCTTGACCTTGGTTTGTTGGGTCAGCAGCTCAGGTCTGAGTCAGCCTGAGCATTTTCCTGGTTGTGTGAGTGGGATGGTTATTGTGAGGCAGGTCACTAGGACTTTCCGGACAGTCATAAAAATAGCAAAACTGAAATCTATTTGCTCTTTCACAGTTTCTAAATAGCATTCCCTCAGGAGGGACCGTGGACAGCATTCCATGCCCCCATGGATGTGGGTAGGAGGGCTTTGTACCCTCCTGAGAATGCACTGGTGTGGGCCAGCTTCAGGCCCAGTTTCTTCTCTCCCCTCAGCTTCTGGGCCAGAAGGTTGATCATTGATTTAAGGTGCTGGGGTCAGGCTTGCAGGAGAGTCTTCACTAATCATTTCTCTTTGTACCTAACAGTTCTTTTAAAAAGCGTAGGCTTTTAAAAAAAAAAAAAATGTTTGTCGTATTGGCTTCTGTCATGGTGGTATTATTATTATTTTTTTTTCCCTGTAAATTATCTTCATACATTGTGTCACTGCTTAAATTGCTTGAAAACATTTTCATTTTTGTCTTGAATTCCTCCTTCGGCCTTAAATTAGGATAGACTTGGCATTTGAGAATTAGGCTCGAAGTGGTCCCTTCCATTGCCCTGGAAAGGACTAGGTGTAGAAATAGCAGGATAATTCATAGCTTGACCTTGGACAGTCACTGTGCCTCAGTTTCCTCTATCTGGAATGGCAGTGACAGTGCATACCTCTTCGGTGAAACAGTGTGCCTAAAACTTTTAGCACACATGGGAAACATGCACCCACTTTTGCCTGTAGTGGTTAGAGGAAACGAGCATCGTGTGTACACACGCTCAATCCCCAATGTGCCTCTCTCTAGGCCTCTCCATGATGCAGTCGAGAATGATCACTTGGAAATTGTCCGCCTGCTCCTTTCCTATGGTGCTGACCCCACTCTGGCTACATACTCAGGTAGAACCATCATGAAAATGACTCACAGCGAACTTATGGAAAGGTTTTTAACAGGTAGGTCTTTTCGAGAAACGGGAATGATAAAGTTCAAGAAATACTATTCAAAAATCAGATGTGGACTTTACTGGGCAGAAATGTAAAACAGTGGAGTTTTAACATTTTTAGGACAGCTGCAGTGTGATTGGCTTTTGTGGGGTGTATAAAATAGTACTCTAGTGAAGCTAATCATTTTGGTGATTAGCCATTGATTCTATATTTGCTTTGATCTATTTGTCCTAATGTTTTAAATATGTCCTAAAATTAGTTGCATTTTCTAAAAATGCCTTTTCACCTTAGGCGTGGCTCATAGTTGCATCTCTAGTTTGAGTGGTATATAAGTTTTTGCCAGATACTGCAGAGAACAGGGTGTGGCAGAATTGCACCAATGGGCAGAAAGGGAGGGTCGTGGGGTCCCCAGGAAGTAACATACCAGCCTGTTCTGAATTTATGGGAAAAATGACCCCTAACTTTTGCTGGCATTTTGGTCTCATCAACAGATTTTATCTTGTTATGTTTCTCTTTCCAGATTATTTAAATGACCTTCAGGGTCGCAGTGACGATGACTCCAATGGGTCTTGGGACTTCTATGGCAGCTCTGTGTGTGGTGAGCACCATTGGTCTTTTCAGCTCAGTGGGAAGTGAATGAGTTACATTCTGGTGTGGGTGAGGGGAGGTAGATGGTGGGTGCTGGAAACAGGGCTGTGGTGGCAAGGCTCTTGTTTTAATTAGAGTCCTGTTTGATGACGGTGGAGATCTTGCTCTGGCTCACTGATTGCTTTTCTTCCTCTGCATTAGAACCCAATGATGAAAGTGGATATGATGTTTTGGCACACCCACCAGGACCAGAGGACCTGGATGATGATGATGATGCCTATAGCGATGTGTTTGAATTTGAATTTTCAGAAAGCCCCCTCTTACCGTGTTACAACATCCAAGTGTCTGTCTCTCAGGGGTGAGCATGGCTGCCATGGGGTTGAAAACAAAGCTGATCTGCTCTTGGGGTGACAGGGTTAGAAATTCCTTTTAAGCAGATGAGGGTGGGTGAATGAGTTCTAAGTGTGCATGAATCTCACTTAACAAAGTAAATCTTTCCCCAAAAAGGTGTACATTAAGCTTGATATACCTGCTGGGGGTTGGGGAGCACAGCATGGTATAAATTGTCCCCATCAGAGAGGCCAATGGGCATTGAAGTCAGTCACTGGAATTTCACGGAAGAATTGGCATCTACAGTCACGAAACTCTTTGGGAAGGCATCCTCCTTAGGAGCACCCCATCTCAACATGCCACCATAGGGGACTTGCTGGGTACTTCGGATGAACTGGGCTATACTGAAATTGTACCTTCTAGATTATAGTTAGGAAAATCATTATACATGGTCTCTAGGATGTTGATTTGTTGTCAGATTTGGTTAGATCCAGTCTTGCCCCTCCTGGTCAGGCCAGTGACCAGGCCCTTGGGGCATATATATCAAGAGACCTATGCTCTGTTGTATGTTAACAAAGATGCTTAATGGATGATACCTTCCTCAGACTCTGAAGCTATAAACCCATATGCGATTACAAATAGCCACATTTATTAGTAATAGAAACCATAAAGTTGCAGTGCCCCGATGCAAAAGCATCTCTCCCAAGAGAGATGAGGGATGGGTTGGAGATATGTGAAGAAAAAGGAGAGGCAGCCTTTTGTATTTTAAAATGTCCTGGGGGGTGGGAGGAGGAGACAAGAGATCAACCCCAAGGGATGCAGACCCTGCCCTTGGCCACCATAGTGGTATGCTCAGTCATGACCCAGTTGAAGCCAGAGCTGGGCGAGTGGGGCTTTAGTGAACTGTTAGTCTCTGTTAGCCACAGGAGCAGTGAGGTGGGCGTTGTGAGGAGCCTCCTCCAGAGAGGCTTCTGCTTCTGTCTAAATTGGTTGGTCCTCTAGATATTATGTTATGAAAGCCACATGAGTCCAGAGTCCCTACCACCAGCAGTGGCGACTTCCCTCATCTGGAAAGGAGCTAGTCAGTCAGGGAGTGAGTACGTTGAGAAATGACAGGGGTGGGGTTTGAAGCAGAAGTAACTGGCCCTTGTCACAGCTGTGGACTGGTTAAGTCAAGGTGGTAGTTAATGGTTGGAAGCTCTTTTAATTTTGCCAAAAGCCTAAACCACTCTCCTTTCTATTTTGTAGGCCACGAAATTGGCTATTGCTTTCAGATGTGCTTAAGAAATTGAAAATGTCATCCCGCATATTCCGCTGCAATTTTCCAAATGTGGAAATTGTCACAATTGCAGAGGCAGAGTTTTACCGTCAGGTTTCAGCAAGTCTGTTGTTCTCTTGCTCCAAAGACCTGGAAGCCTTCAACCCCGAAAGCAAGGAGCTGTTAGACCTGGTGGAATTCACGAGCGAGCTGCAGACTCTGCTCGGCTCCTCTGTGGAGTGGCTACACCCCAGCGACATGACCTCGGATGACTACTGGTGAGCGCACCAGGCCTGCCGTGTACAGTGTGTCATAGTGTTAATCCTTGTGCATATGTGTCATAATACGACTATTTCTGTAAAGAAAGGACACTATTACATATGAAAATATCTCTTCTTTATATAAGAGAAATGACTCCAATTGGAAGGACTTTGAAACATGTTTTTTTCTTTTTAAACTTCAGTCAGTTTTTATGAAATTGTTATGATGTTTCTTTACTTTTAAATGCACACACGTTTTGGGATATGTTTGTTTTTACTTCGAACATTTTTTTTTTTCCTTTTCTTGTCTTTTCTTTTTTAAGGAGAAAAAAAATGAGGACAAGAAACTCCACACTTTGACTTTATTTCATACAAAGCTCTGAGGACAGAAGCTGTAGCTGTTAAAAGTGTGGTCAGGATTGTGTGGCTGGTTTTGGGGGAGCGAATTGGGTAAAGGCACTTGGTGATGTAATTTTATGTTTTGTTTACAGAGTACCTGCTCGGGCCAGGTAAATGCTATTGGATGTAATCCAGTAGTGTGTAATATAAATTAAAACCATTTCCACACACAACAACTAATTGTATGAAACTTTTATATCCTAATTTAAAAGCTGTGAAATTAGTTTTCACGCATCAAACCGGATTGTTTATATGTTTAAACATTTTATGCTCTTATTTAAAGAAGACTTTGAGCTATTTTTTCTGTACCCTGTAAAATATTGAAAACTAACAATAATTATGTTGAGGTTGCTTGAAAATGTACATAAAACTAAAATTTTCTGAATTGTGTGTTTATGTTTGAAATCTGTGTTTTAACTTTGTAAGTAAATTCTCTGCCTTTGTATTTATATTTTACAAAAATTTTCTTAAAAGGCAATAAACCTGTTGAGGAAAGGAGAAAATTGAAGTACCTCGTGTCCTATGTATTCCTGAAACATGTTATTGTTGTCACTGATTTTGTTTTAAATGATGTCAATAATCAAGTCCCTATGAGAACTTCAGAGCAATTTATAGGCTCTATAAACCAAAGCAAACTGGAGGATTTCAGAGGAATTACACTCAGAATACGATTTGGAGTCCTACCCTAAAACCTCAATTCTTGGGCATATATTTTTATGTCTTAGATCTTTCTCTCCTCTATCTCCTTTGATGCCTTTGTAGGCTTTTTTCATTGCCTTTGGCCTTGATGTACTGCAGTAGCCACATCATGGCCAGCCCTTTATATTTAGGAAGGCTTTTTCCTGAAACAGCGTTTCGTTGTGTCATTTCTCATCCTCCAGGTCTCAGATGTTTTTCTGGTACCTTTCGATCAAGTCCAGACTCCTTGGCTTGATAGTCAAGGCCCGTAGCTTTTACCTCTCAACGCCACTGCTCTTATTTTTTCCAACAGTGTCTGTGCTGGGTACGGTCAGTTGGCACTTGATTTCTGTCTCTGCATCCTTTTATGCCCTCCTTTCACTGCAGGGGCTAGAGAGCTGAAAATTACATATTCCAGACTCCCTTGCAGCTAGGTTTCTGAATGCACATTAGGGTTGGAAGGCAGTGTGGTAGAGGAACTTTCCCACCTCAGTGACTGCTGGTAAGAAAGGTCAGGGAGATGGGCCAGCCAGTTGGAGCATTCTAACAGCTAATCTTCAGCTTTGTGGGTGATGAGAGGCAGTAGTGGCTGTGGCAGCAGCAGATTTCTAATCCCTGTACAGCAGCCTTAGCAAATTATTGTTGAACCCAGTAGTTCCGGTGTCATCCCCTTCCAAAGATTGGTAAGCATCTGATTCCTCGTATCAAATCCATTTGTGCTTAGAATGCCTCACCAGTGGCAGAGCAAAAGGAAGGAAGAGAGGGGTCAAAGAAGAGGTCACGGAGACCATACTGGGTCTTAAAGTATGTTGAGGAAAGGGGGAAAATGGACGAGGAAGGAAGGGGCCAGCAAATACTGTGGGGTGGCAGGTGAGGAATAGTTGGGAATGGTGTAATCCAAGATGGTTAGATAATGGGTGTGAGCAATGAGAAAGAGTGCCGTTTCTTGGGAAAGACTTTGGGTACTAAAGCCAATAAGTTTTTTCTGATTAAAATCTTTTTTCTGTTTTTTTTTAATTAAAAAAGATCCCTCTCAATTTCTGGTCCAAAACTTCAGAAATAGAATTTCTTGTCATTCATGCCAACACCCCTCCCCCACTCCAGAGTTAACCACTGTTAATAATTCACTACATTTTTGTTTTTTAGGAAGTTACGTCAAACAGCAGGTGGGAGTGGAAAAATGAAAAGAGCAGATAGGAAGACCAGTAAAACAGACCTGCAAAAATGATTTAAGCAAAAGAGGACTGGTGAGCTTGAAGTACTGTAGGCAATGAGGTACTCTCAAAAGCCCAAATTAAAAAAAAAAAAATTATAACTTTAGAGCATTTGGCTGCTTGTATTTCTATTTAGGCTGGAGGCAAAGGGAGGGCCTGAGGCCAACTGAGGTTTCTATGTTGGATGAGGGTCGTTCTATTAATTAAGCCAAGAAAACATGAGGGAACACAGGTTTAAGGGATGTGAGGAAAGTAATAAGCTTGGTTTAGGAGACAATAAAGATTGTGGTTCATTCAGTTCAGACAATTAGAACATTTACTGTAAGAGCCATCAGGGTGGTTGAAAATATGAATGTTAAAGAACTGATCAGGGGTATAGATGAGATCACTATGACGGTAGAGAAACTCACCACAATGTACAGGAGATCACTGCTCCTGTCAAGGAACTCCTCGTGGGTATAAAGGAGCTCACCATAGGTGTAAGGGGGGGGGGGGAAATCACAGGTGTAAATATAATCACACTAGGTATGAAGGATTTCACCATGGTTGCAGAAGGGATCATGGGTATAAATCAGATCATACTGAGTGTAAAGGAGCTCACCATGGGTGTAGAGGAAGTCACCATGGGTGTAAAGGGGATTGTGTGTAAACTAATTACATAAGGTGTAGAGTAACTCCTCACATGTATAGAGGAGCTCCCCATGTGTTTAGAGGAACTCAGCATGGATATAGAAGTGCTCTCCACAGGTGTGAAGGAGCCCTGGTGGCACAGTGGTTAAGCACTCAGCTGTTAACCAAAAGGTTGGTGGTTTGAACCCACCAGCCAGTCCATGGGAGAAAGATGTGGCAGTCTGCTTTCATAAAGATTACAGCCTTGGAAACCCTATGGGGCAGTTCTACTCGGTCGTATAGGGTTGCTATGAGTCAGAATTGACTTGACGGCAATGGATTTGGTTTGACTTTTTTCCACAGGTGTGGAGGGAATCACACTAGGTGTAGAATGATTCCTCACAAGTGTAGAGACGATTGCCGGTATAGGTGAGATCACACTGGCTAGAGAGAAACTCACCATGAGTTTGGAGGAGCTCACCAGGGTTGTGGAAGAGCAGCTCACTAGAGGTATAGAGCATGTGGAAGAGCTCACTGCTGGTTTAGAGAGTGCACAATGGGTGTAGAGAGTTCACCACAGGTATAGATGGGCTCATTCTAAGTATAATGCAGAAGTGGAGGGTTCAGCTTCTGAAGGTGTCCCTAAAGGCTGAAGACATGCCCTTTACCCTGTCCTCCTTCCTGCTGGCTACAATGTAGCTTTGATGACCACAGCTAGAGCAACCACCTTGGACCATGAAGTGTGGAGATCAAGCACTGTAGAGTGACAAAACCAAAGGGGCCTGGGTTTCTGAGGTCCGAGTGGAACCAAGCCACCACGTCAGCCCTGCACTGCTGCCTTTTGTCTTCTATGTTTGAGAAAAATAAACTTCTATTATGTTTAAGCCACTGATATTTTGAGTTTTTCTACTATTATAACCAGAAAACCAAACCCATTGCCGTCGAGTCGACTGACTCATAGTGACCCTACAGGACAGAGTAGAACTGCCCCATAGATTTTCCGAGGAGTGCCTGGTAGATTCGAACTACCGACCCTTTGGTTAGCGGCCATAGCACTTAACCACTATGCCACCAGGCTTTTCCTCTACTACTATAGTCAAATCTAATCTTTAATATGCTTACCATCTGTGTGAACTTGGACAAATCATTTACCCTCTCAGCCTTGTTTTGTCAAAATTGACTTAATATTTGTAGTAGCAGAAGACTGAGAACACCTCAAATGTCTATTAGTCAGGGACTGGTTGAATTAAAGATGGTGCATCCACACAGTGGAGTAGTATGCAACTGTAAGTAGAACTGAATATCTATGAATTGCTTTAGAGTGATCTCCAGAATATATCATTAAATGAGCAACCATGGTGAAGAAAAGTACGCGTGGTGTGCTACTATTTAACTAAAAAGGAGTTGGAGAATTAAAGCATTAGACACATATTTGCTTTATTTAAAAAAAATGAAAGAATAAAACAAAGACTTTTTAAAAATGATTACCTTTGGGGAGTGAAGGGTGCTGTCAGGGAAAGGAGTGGAAGCTACACTTCTCTGAATATTCCTATAGTTTGACTTTTAGAGTTTAATCAAAAACAAAACCTATTGCCATTGAGTTGATTCTGACTCATAGCAACCCTAAAAGACAGAGTAGAACTGCCCCATAGGGTTTCCAAGGCTGTAATTCTTTGTGGATACAGACTGCCACATCTTTCTGCTGTGGCGTGGCTGGGTTCGAACTGTCGATCTTTCCGTTAGCAGCTAAGTGCTTAACCACTATGCCACCAGGGCTCCTCCTACTTTAGAGTTTACATAATTACAAGGCAAAATTAAATATCAAAAGACAATGCCAAGAAAAAAAGGAAAAATGAAATAAACCTAACTATGTATCCAGTTGGTGGCACAACCCACAGAAAGAAACTGTTTCAAGTGACTTTAAAATTCAGTAAATTGATTGTGTAATCCCTTGTGGGTTAACCCTTACCCTGAGGACAAAATGAATTGCCAAAACACTTTAAGTTGTTTTCAGTGATCATATCATTGGAGAGTAGTGTCAGTATTGTTGTTCTGGGACTGTACAGTTTGTATTGTGAGAGAAAAAAATTATGTTGGTATTGTTGAGAACTGGGATTTTCAGCACAGGAGAAAGGAAATGCAAATATAGGATTGATGAGATTAAATAATACATTTAAATTAGGTATAATTATGAAAATTATGTAGTCCTGAACTTGAATTAGAAGTATTGCTATGAATTCATGATGTATTTCATCTAAAATATTTTTTCCTAGCTCTTTCCATTGAAATAGCCTAGAAACATTGATCAATACAAGATAAATGAACACCACAAGCTTCCGGATTGTGGTTTCTAAGTACCTTTTCTTACTAAAAAGAACCAAGGTTCCTTGGAGAAATGGTTGACTCCAAGGGGGAAGGGGAGTATGGATAGACACAATAAGCTTTTGCAATTGTATCAAAAAGATTTTAGTAGTCAACTTGAAGAGGCTACTGAATACATGCTGTGTATATACGGGACACTTTGAACCTCAGTGAGGAAAACTGCAATGAATATAAACATTAACTGCTTAATCTATGAGTTCATGATGATATGCAAAACAACAAAACAACTCATTGATCTGAAAACTGGCAAATGAAAGAATCAAGCATTTTTCCTGCCTTTTCTTCATGAATTGTACCTCAGGTTGGTAGTTGATCTGAGGATGTTTCTCTGTGAAGTATTCCAGCCAATATGTGAAGAGATGATAGAATACCATTTTACAACCCTTAATGAAATAGTGGAGTCCTGGTGGCGCAGTGGTTAAGAGCTCAGCTGCTAACCAAAAGGTTGGCAGTTTGAATCCACCAGCCACTCCTTGGAAACCCTATGGGGCAGTTCTGCTCTGTCCTATTGGGTTGCTATGAGTCTGAATTGACTCGACGGCAGTGGGTTTTTGGTTAATGAAATAGTGGATTTGGACAATAGTTTTAAGTAGACGTTAGGGGATATTTTTAGTTTAAAGTTTAA